TTTTTTCTTGAAGTATTTCTTGTTAGGGTCCGCTTGATTGTAAAAATGTAATTTAATTGCCTAAAATTGTTTTTCCAAGAATTGTAAATTATTGTGTTTGATTGGTATAATTTTTCACGTGGAAAATATTGAAATAAAAATATTTTTTGGTGTTCATTTGGTTTTATTTTACATGAAAATTGTCAATTAAAGGGATAAATTTTATTGGTATTTTGGATTAAATTTGTTTCCAGTGCCAACACAAAAAAATTTCAAGAAAATCATCTATCTTTTGGTGTTCGTTTGATTTTGTTTTATATGAAATTGTCATTTAAAGGGAAATTTTTTTACAATAATTTTTAGAATTTGTTTCCATTGCCAACAAAAAAAAAAGAAAAAAGAAAAGAAACGAAAAAAAAAGTGCTACAGTAGGTAGGAAAACCAATTTCCCACCATATAGGTTTTCCTTAAAAACCAAGAAAATTCCAAATTTTAAGACGACCTAGAATTCGAATTCCATGAAAAAAAAAATTGTATCAAACACCTAAAGTTGGAAAATTCAATTCCAATTCCATTTCCACCATATCAAACACACCCTTAGTTGAATACTGTCTACTTGAATATTTGTAGTTAGTATGTCAAAATTAAATTCCAATCAAGATAACACCATGCCATTTTTTTCATATTCATAAGATCATACTAAAGAATAATTTCATGGACTTGTAACTATTATCAACTTTTTTAATTACAAAATTTATCAACTTTTTTAAAAACTTAATTTCTAGCTAAACCAAATAGAGGTTAAAAATGCCACATCTAGTTATTAAATCCCTTTGATATATCCTTTTCATTCTAGAATACTCCAATAAATTTCCTTCAATGTTGCTGAAGTTTTTTGCAAATCTTTTCATACTTTTATCAAATATATAGGTCGAGCACATACATTGCTAGCTAATTTTAATGTTTGACCACTTTGCTTCTCATACGCCCAGACGTCCTTCGCATAATCCTAGTGCATTATTGAATGCAAAAGTCAGCTATATTTGCATGCCTTCGTAACTGCTGTCATATGTAAAATTGTAAATATTCTTAAACAACTTTAACTCTATATCGATACATAAATATATTACAAGAAAAAGTTAATAGAATATAATATTAGAATATCTAAAAATTCTCTATTTTTAAAGATTATATTCTATAATTTAAATAGCATATATAAATTTAGAGAGTGAAAATTTTGAAATACTCTGATAGACTCTTTATATTTAACATTTAATTTTACTACTTTCAAAAATATTTATTATTTTTTTGTCTTTTATTTTAGTTAACGTTTCTCTAGATTATTAAATTATTTTCTTACATTAAAACTTGAAATACTTTGAATGTATTTAAATTTGAAGAGTCAAACCCACTTTCTAAATAAAAATGTTAATTTGAAGAGTATCTTGAAGCATGATTTTAAAAATTACTTTTTTAAAATAGAGAGCGTATCATATTTAAAGAATTTTTTAGAGATGTTTAGTGTTATTTTATTTAAAGATGCAATTGTCAAAAAAATTAGCACATATGAGACATAATTAAAATTATTTTTTAAAAAAATGTTTTGTTCAATTTAAATGATGATCAAATAATAATAATAATAATAATAATAATAATAATAATAATAATTATTATTATTATTATTATTATTATTATTATTATTATTAGTATAATAAATAAATAAATAAATAAATAAATAAGCCACCCTACAAACTATTGAATTAAGTTTATTTATTTTAAAATTTACAATAATCACATAACAAAAAAAGAATTAGCATATCCTATTCTTTTAACATAAATTATTAATTTACACCACAAATATAATTAATTTGATGTTAATTAGTTATTTACGTTTTCATATATTTAAATTTTAATGACTATTAAACTTGCAATATATATATATAGAAATTAACATGTAGATGGACAAGAACTTAGAGTGTGTTTGATTGACATGAAAAATATCACCTAGAAAATAAAATATTTTCCTTCTTTTGTGGAAAATAAAAACCACCTCCACCCAAGGAAAATGTTTTCCTTAAAAACAAGGAAAATTAGGCATATTTTCAAAAGTTGGAAAATATTTTCCATGGAATAAATTAGCAGTCAAACACCTCAAGTAGGAATTTGGATGGAAAACTGATATTTTTCATGAAAAATAAATGTAATCAAACACACCTTTAATGTTTAAATTAAACACGCATTTTTAAATTTAGAGGAAAATTGAATATCTGGCCTAAATTGGTGGACAAAACTTAAGAATCACCTATTTTGACTTATCTACATCCATATATTTTCTCTCCTTAGTTCTTACGTCGAAGACGGGTTTTCTCTTATAATAGGGCATTCGTGTTATTATTATGACTTTTATATTATTTTCTTGTACAAATATCAACATTTTCAAAACTCACTCCAATCTCTTTTCTATTCCATTTCTAATTATCTTTGTTAGTCCATTTTTTTCGACGAAACATGTTATAATATCTTTTGTAGATCAGGATAATTATGGTGGATTTACTCAAAAGGCTTATGTTAAAGCATATCTTGGACAACTATTTTATGATAATATTGTTCGTGGAATATATTAGATATCGACTCATAATAAAAGTGATACATATTTATTAGGGAAAATTTGACAACTCATATAATTAATGTTATATTTTGAGAATTGAGAAATGTCGAAATTTGGTCACTCCAAAATTAAAATATACTTTTAGGATAGTATGTATTGGAATCGATTTGAAAGTTTCCAATAGGGCTGCACAAAAAATCGTGAAACAGCAAACTGAACTGAAATCGTTGATTTGAAATCGTTGGTTCGAGTCCACGTCGACCCACAGTTTTTATTCCCTCAAAGCGAACCAAACCGTTTCAAAATGGTTTGGTTTAAGTTTTGATTTTCAAAAACCCACACACACAAACACACACACACACACACACACACACATATATATATATATATATATAAACTACAACAACAAATCACGTCCAAAGTTTCAGAAGACCTAATATAAACTCTCATTTTCCAAACATTTGACGCATGTCCGCTATTACTGAACGAACTGTCAGTCGCCTTTTATCTCTTACTTTGCTAATTTCTACCTGAATCAACTCTCTATCTTCTCTCCCAGTAAGTCTTAGATTCTTATTCAAGCAATTTTTTAATTGTTATTTCTTTTATTTGTTATTTTTAAACTTATTATACACTTTTGAGTTGTGGTTTGGATAGAAAAATGACGTTTGTGTACCTAGATTTTTAATGAGCTTGTTTGTGATTCGAAAAGAACGAAGAACATAGTGTATTGATTGTGTGAAAATGTTAAAATTTCATAACTATTATTACTACCTTCTATTTTCATAAAGTAGTAAAATTCGTCAATTCCCAATAAACATGAACTCTATCAATCCTTGTACATCTAAACGTATTATATTCAATTCTTATCTAACACCTCACTAGTAAGATAAAAAAATTTTTTTAACCAAACTATAATATTAGAATGTGACTCTACCTTTACCAATCTTCATGTGACAATAAATAAAAATGGAAAAATATGTATTTGTTCTAATATTTTTAGCAACCAACTTTGAAAATAATATATTCGTGGGTTTCATGGTAAATATGAATGTAATTTAATATTTAACATTATTAGTTCTCATTTAAACTTATATGTTAACTTATTTTAAATACATTACCATAATGTCGATAAATAAATTGTGGATTAAAATCGAATAAAACCGAAAATTATGGTTTTATTTGATTTGGTTCGAAAAACAAAATGATTTGATTTAGTTTGGAAATTTTTCAAATCGCATAAAATGGTTTGAATTGAAAATATAGCACAAACTGGCCAAATCGAACCGCGTTCACCCCTAGTTCCCAATATTAAAAGATTCATATGAGAACTAATCGATGAATATATGAAAATAATTTCTTTCTTTTAATCTATCCCAGCAATGTACAAGGCTAGTCATTTTCTTAGTTCAAAAAATAAAATGAACAATGGTTGACATAGCAACAATTGAAATCTCGACAAATTATGAGTAGACATTGCAGTGGTAGAAGAAACGTTGAAGGTATATTATGATTTATGTTCATGGGTTATGTAAGTCTTTCCATGTTCTTGTTTATCACCATTGGATGAGCTATTTGACAAAAGCAATCTTGTTTCTAACTCATTCTATATTATTTAAAAGGAATGATCTAATAAATATCGATATCCGTCTTATGCTAGCAATGATGACATGCCATATTAATTTATTAGTGAATAACAAATTTTATTCAAATACTGAGATCCACCGATATTTCATCCATCAATGAACATGTCATATAATTAGTGCTTAGCCTAAAATGAATACTAGTGCTCGTTAGATCACTCATATATCATATAATTGCGACCAATTCATATGACACAAATTCAAGTGAGATGTGACAACAATTGTGATCCTGACAACTACAATATAGTAGAATTGTGATAACTCCATGCAATGATTGTTCGTATAGGCATAAATGATAACTAAGTGTGACCATTGCAACATTCGACGTGATGTTTTAGCAATGTTTACATACAATTTAGACTTGTATGAGTCGGATCCCTTTTGTATTGTAAAGTTATGACCACGAATTATGATCCTATGGCCATGTAAATGAAAAGATAATGATTATTTTTCTTTGTACAAATAAAGTGAATGATTAACTCCCCTTCATATTTACGAAAAAAAAGAGAGAATAAATCGTTTAAATTACCATATATTTGAAAATAATATCAAAAATTCAAAAACGAAAATTTGAAAATTTTTGAATTAATTAAATTCCTAATTATTTGATTTAAAATATTTTATTTATCACTAATTTGTCAAAATAATTAACTTTATTCGGTTTAATTTTTTGAGGACCATCCGAAAATGGTTTGAATGAAAAAAAATCTCGCTAAGCCCAATTAAAAGGCATGCACATCCAACTATGACAATAAACCAGGCCCGTTTAAGTCGCCAAAGGGAAAAAGAGGCTTCTGTTTTCTTCCTCAGTATTACGCTAAAACCTGGGGAAGAAGCGGAAAGGGGATCATATTGTGTTGATTTCTACTCAACTTCTTCAGCAACAAAATTGAAAGGTATTATGGATTTTATTAGCGTTTCTGAAATCGCACTCGCTCTGATTGTTGGGAATAATCTAATTTCAACTCAACTCCTTATAATTTATGTATTTTTCCAAAATTGTTGTTTCTTGATGGTTATCCATTATTTTTCGAAAACATTTCTCTTGAATTTTTGATGTGATTGTTTATGGTTTTCTCATTGCCACCCCTTAAGTGTAATAGGTGAAATACCCAGGACCAAAATCCAGTGGGGGCAGGTGGCTCCGTCCCTGCTTATACATTATGAATGAAGTAAACAAGAAAAAACAGAATGAGAAGCACCAGATAGTTTTAATTGACGTTCGCGAACTTAACTCATTCAATTTCTTGGTAATATTATTCCATATTTTGCAAAACACCCTTTGATTTTTTAAGTTTAGTGTGCGTTTGGGATTAGATTTTTTGTAGCGAAACATGATTTTGGAGAATGGAACCATGTGCAAAATTATTTTATTGCGAAAACCTGTGGTTGAAAATGAGTTCGAGAAAAATTGATTTTCAAATAAGTTGTGCCAAGCCAAGCAAACGCTTAATTGTCCAGTCCTAATAGAAATGTGGGCCTAATATTTCTAGTTGTACGTTTAGCTTTTGTCTTTGTGCTGATTGTTTAAGTGTAAAGTATCATACTTTGGAAGCTCGTGAAATAATGTCTATTATCTGATCGTATGATGATTCACTTCTGTTGGGTATTAGTTTTAACCCATTGCCTGGATACAAAGTTTAATGGATCACTTTATTTTGACTATGAATGGCAATTTTCTTGAGATTTTCTTCATTAGAAATGTAATTTAAGTTTTTCGATTCGATATGCTGGCATAGTAGTTCAACTTAGACTAGGTTTGATTATTTAACAAGGATTTAGATAATTCATAATAAGTTTGTGACGTATTAAAAGTTCCTCTAGAAATGAATTCTTAATTTAATAGAATTATTGATACATAGAAATCTTCACCACCAAATTTTCTTCTTCTTCTCTGTTGCTTGCTGATTCCACCTCTCTTTCTCCTTTTGTTGTTAAGTTCTCCTTCACCTAGTTTGTTGATATGTATGTTATTGGGAAGAATTATTCGTAGGTTGCTTTGTATAACTTTAAGATTACTGAGAGAAGTTGGATGGTCTTTCAAATTCACTGTCCTTTGACTAATTCAAATCAATAATTGTTTAGCATGCAGAAAAATAAAAGGATATCAGTTATTGCTACTGCCGCTTTATTTTAATGTGCACCATAGCGAGAAAATATGCAGAAATGATGCACAACATTTTTATGCTTTTTTTTTTTATCAGTGCTTGACAGGACAAACAATGGCAACCCAACCAAAAAAAGAGGACGTTTCACAAACAGCAGACAGCCAGCAAGAAGCAACACATACGACTGTTGGGTGGGGAGGGAAAATAGAAGAGCAGTATAGGAAGATCAGAGAACATGCAGAAACGTACCCCTATGTTTGGGGATCCTATATCCTTGTATATGGAGGGTTTGGTCTCTGGTTAACGTACAGGTGGAGAAAGCTCCGAAAAACTGAGGACAGAGTTCGAGGTCTTCAAGAGAGACTTCGCAAGCTTGTTGAAGCTGAACAGTTGGCAAACTCTGTTTCAGCAAAAGAGCAATCTACGAACCCTTCTTCAGTAACAAACAAGGCACCTCCGTCTGCTGATAAGTAGAGCAAATAGTGGGTTATTCTCCAATCAAATTAATACTTTTCCAATGAATTTCCTTTTGCGGTTGTAGTCTCTCAAATGCTTTAGAGTTTGGATAAGTTGAGTGCAAATGCAGTTAACCTTAGCTTAGTCATACCTGAAGGCTGAAGAGCTTGGAATTTGTTGTATCTTACATTTTTTGGCACATTCTTCAAACACTTAGGTTTTGACAAAGTATCTGCATTAGAAGAATCACTATGCAGGGTCTTCCCTTATTATTTGATCACATTGGATAGAGAAGTTTGTTGTGATAGTATAAGCCAAATAATGATGGAATTTATTCTTTATAGATGATGGTATGGAGAACGTTTCAATGGTCCATTGCAGCCCTCAAATTCTGGAATATGCTTCTTTTGTTGCTGGAAGTTATTAGTTCGGCTATTAAATAGCTGATAGCCGGTTTTTGAATTTTTGAAGATTAGCGGAAGCAAGATTAAGGTATGTCGTTGATTTCAAATCCCCTTATCGAGGAAACTATTGCCAACTCCTAGTATTCTAGAAAAGCTATTTTGTTTTGTAGGAGTCTTATATATCAGGGGTTTCAATTATTGTCGAAACATTAACCAGATTGACCATTTCGTTGAATTTTCTACATGTATCAGTATCAAGAAAATGTTTTTTGACGAGATGTTCAACTAAAAAGTGAGATATCGACCAGGTTGACCCCTCGTTAGAAATACTCTGGGGGCTAACTATGAACATGAGCTGATTGTTCAGATTCCCTCAAATTGTTCCGTGCAATCAATTCCAAGAATTCAGTTGAATATTCATCAGTTGAAAGCTTCATCTGTCTTAAATTTTGCAGGCTTTGATACAAAGAAACGCGAATAATAAGGCAAAAACTTTTATCCCACGAAGCTATTTTCTCTTTTCTGTTATGGGGACGATTGTCTTTTAGTTTGCTGTCGCCTCGTTGCTGCTCTGCCATGGAATAGAGTAGCTACCATGGGGACCGGCCGTTCATCTAGATCCTATTTAAAATCCAAGATTTCCAATGTTGCGCACAACCAATCCAAGAGCTCATCGTCCTCCATGCCCCAATAAAACTCAGGGATATCCACTTTAAATCCCCGTTCCCAGTTCTTGCTATCGTCACCACATTCCAGACCCGTTGTTGGAAAAAAAGCTTTATCCTAACAAGGGAATGGAGAAATAAAATCAAAGAATGGAGAAATGCCGAAAATTGACCTGAACACAGATTTAACAAGTCTTAGAAGAAGGAAGACACTAAGCACTTGTGTTTTTTCCTTAAAACTCAAAGAACACTCGAAATGATGAATATGTAAAGAAACTTTTGTAAAACTCTCTATGGATGGAATGATTTCAATTGTTGGTGGTGTAATAATTGTTTAGAGGAATGAAGTCTATCTCATATATATAGATTCTCAATCATACACCATGAAAAGGCCTCAAGGGTTTATGAAAAGATGCATTTTTTTTTTCATAAAAATGTGCCAAAAAATAAACCAGAAAAGATGTATTTTGAAGGAATCCTATTTAATATTCTACATGCACTCAACAAGATTTCACCCCATAAATTAAATCGCAACTTAGCATATGTTAACATGATATTTATCATTTCAACTAATTAATAATTATCGTTGATTTTTGACATACATCTAACGTTTACCTTTAAAAAAGAAAAAGAGTTCAACGTATTATCATCAATAGCAAGATTTTGCCTTTCACACCCAACTACACTATTCACTACTTTCAAATTTTCTATCGAATTGTATGAAATCATTGAACAATCAAGTTTTTAAAGAAAATTAATGATTTTTCTTTCAAAAGAGAGAAATTATAGCCATCACATTCATTTTATGATAGATGAGACAAAATAAGGAGTTTTATTTACTCTGTACCATGTTTTTTTTTTTTAATGCTTGAGTTGTATCAATCAAGGGAAAATTCTATTGCTCAATGCAGTCATGATAGAACAAGAAGTGCATTGCTTAAGTTGACAAATGACAATTAATGTCATTTAAAAATATCTCATGAAAACTTTCTTTGATGATAAGTTTTTAATCTGAGAGTAGGTTTCAGCATGCCATCTAATTACAAGTAAAAATTGACTCAACACGATTGATTACAAATTATTAAATTACATGAATTGTGAAATATCATAGAATGATCCCTTAACATGACTCGATATTTTTTTAATTAAAAAGCGAATCAAAGGATTTCAACTCTCCTGAAAGGAGGCTCGAACATGAGCTCGTCATGCTTAATAGTGCCATTATATAATTTTTGAGCTAAGTTTAATTAGTAGTGAACTCTACATATCTAGTCAATTTGTCTATTTTGAATTGTGATTATGCGATCAAAGTGGGATAAAGCAACAAAGAACATGTTCGGATTAGTACAATTCCAATTCTTCTTAGAAGTCTAGTGAAATTTGCTTATATATAGTGAGATTAACTGAGTGAATGGCCAAGAAAATTGATTTATTCATGAAATAAATTGAATTAGAGGCTAAAATGTGCAAAATACATAAAGCCTTCAATGTGAAAAGAGTTGCACAAAACCAGGGGCGGATCCAGACATGTAGTATTGTGGGGTCAAAAATTTAAAATTAATTTTTTTTAATAAACAACATAATATCAATGAAAATAAGTTAATATGTATTTTGACATTTTGAAAACGTCGTATAATTATATCATTATTAATATTATTAAATAAATTTTGCTACTTGTATAATTTTGTTTATCATTTCATTGGCAAAGGATGAGCTAACATTGAGTAAATTAAATTGAATATAGAAATTAAATGAATTGAAATAAAATTTAAGTTTAGTTCATGAAGTAAATGAAATTTAAATTTAAAGTAAATATAATTCGAAAGTAATTCAAATTGCATTTAATCCGTAACCACCCTAAAAAATTTACGTCATATTTCATGTAAAACTTCCGAATGAAACGATATAAATTATATTGAAAAATTTATCGTGCAAAAATAATAATTAATTGAATTTTTTTTAAAAGAAAAAACGAGTTAGATGTCTTTTTTGAAGAGTACGCTTGAAACGTATTTAACTATTTTCGATATCCGTTTGGACCATTCGATATGAAAACGATGTAGTTTTCAAAACAAACCTTTACATGACATAGACGATTTGTGGATTCAGATAGCACATGATCGCAAACGAATTTTTAAAGTTAGGATATTATCGAAATTCTCAAAATACTAGTTTCAAACGGCCTACTTTAATATGTCATAACTTTTGCTATAGTTGACATCTTCCCATGCCATTAATAAGTGAAAAATTAGGCCATGAGTACTTCGGAATGGTATTAAGAATGTAATATTTTGATTTCATTTAGTATCCCGACGAGTGCATTAAAATATATTGTAAAAAAAATAATAATAATTAAAATTAAAAAGGGGGCAAAATTTTTGTGGGGTCATTTGACCCCAGATGACCCCATGTGGGTCCGTCGTCCC